ACAGATTACCTGTGTAGAGACATTGTGTAAGTGATTTCACTCAAAGATCTAGGCTGGAGATTCCTGGGGCAGGAGGTAGGGGGTATGGGTTGAGTCCAAGTGCACCTGGCTGGGAGAAGACTCTACCAAAGAACTCAGAGCACATCAACAGAAATGAGATCATAGAAACTAAAGAAAAAGTGATCTTCAGGTGGAGAATTGCTAGCCAGCAGCCTCAGAAAACACAAAGTTCAATTAGACAGAAAGCTGGTGCTTTGCACTTGGCAATTATTGGTCACATTTCAGTCAGTGGAGAGCAGGGTGCATAAGATGCGGCCGTAAATAGTGGGTGGCCGAGAGGAAGACACAGAGAAGGACTGCTCTATGCCTCACAGTGAATGCAAGCCAGAGGCACACTAGGTAGAGAGGGACAAGGAGTGGAAAGAAGGGATGGCAGGTTTGTGTAAGGTGGGGAACACTTGTGCAATCCCAGAGTGAAAGAAGGGAAGGTTTTTTGGTGTAAGATGGAAAACACTAGTTCAGTCTGGTGGGGAGGGTTGTCTAGTTACAGGACGAGACCAAAAGTGTGGCAGGAGGGGAGGGAAGGACCCAGGTCCTGGCAGAGGATCCTCCTTGGAAAAGAGAGCACCCCCGACACTGTGATGGGCGAGGAGGTAGGAGAAATTGGCATAGGTGGAAATAAATTTGTAAGGATGAAGGTTTTCAGAGTGCAAGAAATTGGGGGAGTTTGTAGCTTTTCAAGGCCTCTTGCCTCTTAGGTGGGCAGGGATGAAAGTTAATGGCTTCCTACACAAATATCCAGATTGTATTACATAACTACAGGTTGTCTATCAGCCTTCTACATAGAAAGTAATGCAAAGTTGACTTTGAGCAGATGTCTGTAGTAAGAAGCTGTAGCCCTGCCACTAGAAAGAGTCTTAAAGAAAATTAAGGACCTTATAATCCATGTTATGCTTGAAAACTGCTGGCTTATATAGCCATTTTATGCTTTTGTTCATCCTGTATGCATATATAGATGCATATCTGTATATAAATGCATACATATATACACACATGTACACACGTACACCTATGCATATAGAAATATACACATGTATATCTGTATATAAATGCATACATATATACACACATACACACGTACACCTATGCATATAGAAATATACACATGTAAATTTTTTCAGCCAAAGACAGCAAGAGGATACCCATAGTCTAACACTTGGTTGATTTCTCAGTGCAGTGAAGAATTATGGGACCGTCTAAGCAGTAATTTTAGGGACCGTCTAAGCAGAGTCAACTGGACTGTTCTATGATTGGTGTCTGTAAATCTCACTTGTGGATGGACAGACTAAATTGAATAAAAAGCTAAGATCGGTAAAAGAAGTAGCACTCACTCATTTCATGGGAAAGGAGCATGTTTGCTATTATGGGTTACAAGATGACCTTTTTGATGGGAGGATGTCACTTAGTGTCAGAGTGACTTTATTTAACACAGGTGTTCTGGAAGATTATGCCCCACAAGAGAACAAATCAGCCTGACCTCGAGTGTCCAGCCAGCTTGTAAGAATGTTGATGTCTGGCTGTGAATGGCAAATCAGTTCCAGGCAGTTTTGTTTATTATATGCTTATGCTAAGTATGAAAAATATGCATCCTACACATTCATCTTAATTTGTCTGATCCTTTAAAATGAGCTATTTTTTGTTTTGGTGCATATAGTTTTAACATGTATTGGCAAATGTTAAAAAGAATTCTCTTGTATGCCCTGGTTTGTATGTAGCTTAGATAAATGGACTCCAGAGGTTCACATGTTGTAGAAGCTTGGTTCTCTCTGTGGCAGGATTAAGAGGAAGTGGAACTTTTAGGAGACTGAGCAAAGTCTCCGAAGGCAAAGGTGGCTTTCTGTGGACTGAGGGTCCTAAGAGGGAGCATTTTTACAAGGGAGCAAGACTGGCTCCTTTCAGGCCTCTGGTACCCTCTATTGCCACGTAGTACCTCTCTCTACACTGCCACTACTGTGATGCCATCTATATATACGCTAGAGCTGAGCAGAAGCTGACATCATACCCTTGAACCTCAGAATTATAGGATAAATAGTAATTCTCCATTTTTAATAAACTACCTAGCCTTAGAAATTTTGTCGTACTAACAGAAGAGGGACTAATGCATCATATATCAGTACATCAAGAATGGAGAACTAAATCTGTGTGAGTAGTGTAAGATGCACTCACACCTGGAAAGCTTGTTATGTTACTGGAAAATGAGCAGAAAACAGAAGATTCTTTCTTTGATCCAGGTAGGATGTGGGTCGTGGTGAGGCAGAGAGCAGGAGCATTTTTAGAACTATTTAGAAGACAGAGTGAACAGAACTTGGTGTTGAATGCAGTACTTAGGGAAGCCAGAAGCATGTAGGACGATGCCCACCTAGTTTTCTAGCTGCGGAGGAAGTGATACTCTTTACCAGTTTGGGAAAAAGTTGGCAGGGAGGAGTAAATTGCAAGCAGGAGTCTATCCAGTAGCACGGATCAGAGTCTGATTGCTTCTAATCAGTGTTGTGTGTGCCTAGTACCTGATAGCAAGTTCACATATCCCATCCACGTTCACTCATTGTTTATTAACATCCCAGGTTCTTTTGTCATAGTCTCCTCATATAGGCAGATGTGACATGCTGGCAGAAGATTGCTTGATCTGGGTAGGGAAAGAGAATCTGATGGAGGTGGCTTGATGACTGTCGTTGTCAGGGTTTGACATCTGTATTTGAGTGGTTTGTATGCCCTGTGCGTATGTAACACAGGACTGACCTGCAGACTGGGTTCTAAAGCTGGGTGCTGAAATGTTGGGTGACAAGACTGCCTGTGTGGGTTGCATGCAGTGTCAGCCACCTGCCTGAGAGTGGATGCTTCATGCATATTCCACTTGTATTAGAGGAGAGGATATTTGTGTCTGCCTTAATATAGTACAGGGAAGGGCAGAGGCTCTGGTTTTTAGGTATTTGCCACTTTGGTTGAACACATTGCTAATTTTTTTTTTATCAAACTGGTCTATAAGTGTAGAAACATTGTGAAGGAAAGAGGAGAAAGGAGTTAAAATGTGTCACTGTGTGCAGCAAATGCAGAGGCTTTTCTTTAGATTTTATTAGTGCGTGTATGCAGTATGTAGTGCTTATCTCCATCCTCGGGAGTTAGTTCCGGGACACAATCCGTCTTAATTCTTTCTCATCTCCTTCCTTTCTCCTCCCTCTCTGTTCTCCCATTATCTCTTGCCCTTTGTCATAGGATCTGTTCCCTGTTTCTTATCTTTTGTTTTGCTCTTTGTTTAAACTTTGGGCTTCTTACTTAAAAGAAACCATGTAATATTTAAGCTAGAGGAAGCTTTTTGTTTTTTAATCTATTTTTTTCTAATATCCTGAACCCATGTCAGGAAACAAAATGTAGCTAAATTTACAAAGCAGTGCTTCTGGTGGATATATGAACTGTGAAGGCATCAAAAGAATCTGATTATTAAATTTGCTCTTGTTTTGTTTTTACCATTTTTTCCTTCTTTCCCTCAGCTGACTTCTTTCTGACTTTAAAATATTTTCCTTCTTTGTTAAAGATTCCCTTTCCTCTTCCAGCTTGTATTTTGAATCATAACTTAACAAACAAATTAAAAAAGAACATACAAATAAATTTTTATCATATGTGAGAATAGGAAGAACTTTTTGATATGACAGTTGTTTTCCTTGTAAAATTAAACAATTATTTTTGTCCATGAATGCATACATGTAGTGCATAGTTCTATTTTATTAAATCAATATCTATTTTCAAAATCATGTGCCATTTTCTCAGATGATCATACTATTGAAAATGAACCTACAGTGATACAAAAACAAAATCTAGATGATGGTGTTAGGGCTGGATTTCAGATTTGTGGTGTTGAAGCTGTGTTAAAGCCTTTGATTGCCTTGGTTACTCCTATAAACAAAAGACATTATTTTTCATTTTAATCCTTACATGTCTGATTTGTCACTGAATTCTTGTGCCTTTGGAAATTTAAATTCTCCATTAGTCAGGATTGCAACAGCGTAGTTAAATATTTATATTAATAGGCTTTCCTTAGGAATTTCCTTTCATTCTTTTTTGGTAAGCATTCATAACATATAAAACTCATTATATTAAGAATGAGTATTAGTAATATATATGTGAAAAAATAATGGATTCTTTCCTAGTTATATCTTAGAGAAAATCTTGGCATATAACCCTCTTATTGTCTTGCTAGAAAGTGAGGACTAAAAGAGTTGCATGACTTTTTAGTTTGTTGAGAGAACATTATGGTATCTTAATGTATAATTTTGAAAATATCAGAGCTCAAAAATGAGTAAACATTAAAGTAATTGGTTAATAAATGTCTATTCCTAAAGGAAAAAATGCCTGAGGTATGTTTCTTTTAGCAGCCAAGACTTTGTGGTGCTCCGCTGATTGAATAAGAGATCTGATAACAATATAGTTGAGTCAGCTATGGGAAGAGGAAGTGACTACTGTTTGATTAGGACTGCAATCTATAGTTAGAAGGAAGGAATTTAAAAAATCTCTATATATGATTATATTTTTGGTGTAATTATTTCTAGAAGAGTGAGATGTTTAAAAAATAGTTCATAGACTGTGGGAACTAGGAAGTCCTTTGAAGTCTGCTGGTTCAGGGATTGTGCTTGCTTTATGGCTGATGATACTTAGAATCTACAGTGTGGAGAAAGGAGTCATCTCAGAGGACACATGTGGTCCAAACCCAGATCTCAGTCGGATTTCCTGGCTTAGTGCTTTTCACCCTTTCATCTGTGTTAGTCTCAAAAACAACGCAGATCCTATTTAAAAGAAGAGCAGGGTGTGTACAGGAGGAAAGGGCCGCACAGCCCTCCCCCAGATCTAGGTTGAGGGGCTCACTGAGTGGTCTCTTGCAGCTGCTCTGCAGACAGTGTACACCCACGGTGGGGATCATTGGGCTGATATAGTCGATGTGTTCTTTTCAGGGGAGAGTTACGTGTGCGCTTCCAACGAGCCATTTCGGAAAGTGGATTACACCAAAAATGTCAACCCGAACTGGTCTGTGAACATCAAGGGTGGAACCACGCGATCCTTGGCCTCCACGGCCCCTGTGAAGAGCGAAGTTAAAGAAAGTAAAGACTTCATCAAACCCAAGTTAGTGACTGTGATTCGAAGCGGAGTGAAGCCTAGAAAAGCCGTGCGGATCCTTCTGAATAAAAAGACTGCTCATTCCTTTGAACAGGTCCTAACTGATATCACCGAAGCCATCAAGCTCGACTCCGGAGTGGTCAAGAGGCTGTGCACCTTAGATGGGAAGCAGGTAAGAGAGAGAGAGGTTCTTTAGCATGAAAAGTGTGAGTGTGTTACATGTTTCCACGTGTCCATCAGTACACCTTGAGCTGTCGAAGGGAAAATGTAGCTTTCCAAGAGAAAAGTGCCAATTGCAGGGTTATCCGATCTTAAGTGGGCTGTTAAGGTTAAGCCTTTACTGTTGATTAGTAAAGTCTTTATTGGCTGGGGTATCTCAGAGTTAAAGGTATTTAACATGCTGTATTTAGAAAAGTCTTTTGTTACCTTTTAGGAAAAATGCATTTCAGAGGAAAGTACTTCCATAGGAATATGCATGTGTGTTTTGTACAGAGCAGTGGAGACAATTAGTCAGCATTTCTAAACAATGAACACCAGCTGCCCAGAAAAATGCAAGTCAAATTGTGGTAACAGTTTGCCAGCAGATCTCATGGACTAGCGAGTCTTGGGCACACTGCAAGAGCACATGAATAGCAGTTACATAAATGTGGAATTTTGCTTTAAAAAAAAGATTAAAAGAAATAGTGTCTTCTAAAATGTATTTTTCTCCAGTTTCCATAGTTAAATTGTGTATATTTGCATTGTAGGAAAAAATAGTTTCCAGTATTAAATTTCTTCATTCCATTTAGTTTCTTCCCCCTAGCATAATTTATTTTGAAGTATTTGGCTCTTATGTTGCTGAGAATGAATAATATGAAACACTGAAGCAATGTCTTCCAGAAAAACACAAAGTAGTTCCTAATTTCGAAGACCAAATAAAGTGAGTAGGGTGTTTTAGGAAACATTAACAACATCTGAAAAAACAGATTCTGGCCAGGTATAATGGTACATGCCTGTAATCCCAGCTCTCAGAAAGCTGAGGCAGGAGGATTGCCACAAGTTCAAGGCCAGCCTGGACTACATAGTGAGACTTAGTCTCAGAAACACACACACACACACACACACACACACACACACACACACACACACACACAGAGGTTCTAGAAACTGGTGTGTGGCTGAGTGGTCTATGCATACTAGGATCTGAGGCTTTGGCTTCAGTACCTACAAGCAAAGATAAATATATAAATAAAAGATAGGCTCTGAAGATTACACTGGAAGCATGTTCAAATTAACGACTAGAAGGGTTATACTTCTCAGCACTATGCCAGAAAATAGGTTTATGTTGTTAATGCTAAAGACACTTTGTCTAATGAAGTTATTAGCTCAATATAACACAAAGCACTATAAGAGTCACTTTATGTGTAAATAAAAGTAAATAAGGCCACAAACAAGAGGTATGGAAAATGATTTTTATTTTTATTTTATGGTTATAGTGCTCAGTGATTCATCACTGAGGAAGTTGGTCCATGTACATAATACATTTTAATTCTTTTTCCCTCCCCTTCCTCTGGAAAATTAGATAGTTGCTTCTTGACATGCATAGGAAAGACAGAATGTATAGACATAAACGTTTAAGGTATCTAAGTGAAAGAAAAAACTAAATATGCCAATATGGAAGAAATGACATAAACAGTAATTGAAGATGAAGTTATAATAATGAGACCTCACATTTGGAAATCTCCAAATAAGTAACAGTCAGTGAGGATAGTTAAGTGAAATACAGAAGTTGAACATTTAATTAAGATAGTATGTATTGAAATTTTAATAGTATCTAAGAAATTCTCTTCAAATACCCTTCAGACTGGAAATATAAAAATGTTAACTGAGTACCAGAATCTCAGATCACCAGCATATTTGGAATAATGCAGTGTGACATCCAGGATGCATGTCAGAAATAAAAGGATTGCTTACTTTATTAAGTTTCCAGCCAACCATGTTGGCAAGTGCCTGTAGTCCCAGCACTTGGAAAGCTGAGGCAAGAGGATCACTGTGAGTGTGAGGCCAGACTGGACTACAAAGTGAGTTCAAGACCAGCCTGAACTCCATAGCAAAATTCTATCTCAAAAAGACAAAAAACAAAACAGAAAAAGACTCCTCTATACATGAGAACTATGGGATAAAGGATAAAGTCATGCATGTGTAATTCCAGAAAGATGGTGTAAAAGCATTGTCCTGTTAAAGATTCAGCATTAAGCTGGGTGAGGTGACAGATGCCTTATAATCTCGGCAAGGATGGTGGTTCAGACAAGGGGGTCACAAGTTTGAGTCTTGCCTGGCATTTAATTGAGACTGTGCTTCAAAATTAAATCAAAGAGCACTGGAGATGTAGCTCAGTTCTATACAGCCCTTGGGTCCAAAAGAAAATGATTTCTCTTAATATACTAAAAAATTTTCCTGTCTGAAACAAAAACCCAAAATATTACTAAAGAAATACAGTCTTGGATTTCTATGGGGATCAACTCCAAGGTGATACCTGGTGGCATCAGTATTCCAACGTTCTTCCCTAAGTTCTTCCTGATGTTCATTTGTAGTTTAATGTAGTTTGAGAAAGAATGTAAATGAGATTTGAGGGTAAGGAGTAGAAAACCTGACAGTGATTTTGAAGTTAATCTGGAAAAATAGGCAAGAAATGCTGGAAATAGTGATTAATGGGCTCTCATGCTACCAGATATTAAATCATCATCTTCATACTATACAAAAAATACATTCCAGGTGTTTTAAAAATATAAATGTCAAAATGAAGTAGAAATACTAAAAAATGAATATTACAGTGAAATGGGAAAGAATTTTCTCAGCTTAAAAGTAGTAGGGAAATCACAAGGGGTAAGGTTAATTTGTAAGACAGCTTAAAAATTAAAAATTTCCAGATGTCAACTCAAGGATTACTTCAACTCAAATTGAAGTAATTTAATCTGAACCAGATAAATGGTATAATAGAAGAATGTATGAAAGTTTTAATAGATAATTATGAAAAGAATTGTAAATAGCAAATATTAAAAAATGTTTTGGGCCTGAGGTGGTAATTCAGAGTATGTAGCATGCATGAGATCAAAACAAAATAACTCAAAAAGCAAATTCAGTTTCACTAATAAAATTATTAACCAAAGGTGTGAGATATTAGGTTGGCATGGTGCACACATACTAAGAGGCAGGAGGACAGCAAGTTTGAGCCCACCCTGGGCAACCCAGTCACATAGAATTTAGCTCAAAGAAGGATGCTGACATACTATTTTTAATACTTAAAGTTGAAAGTTTTGTTAAAAAAAAAGTCCACTGTTTCTGAATATTCAATGATTTGGCATTACATAGTGATGGAAGTATGAAATGTGAAAGCTTTATGGAAAGTGATTTGAACTAGTAGATCAGTTTTAGGGATTATCATAAATATCCTGAGATGCAAACATTATGCATAAAAGCTTTCATCCCAGCCTAAAAGCCAAAGACTTGAAACAGTCTCAAACGGCTAAATAAGGGAAATAGTTAAATGATATGACCATGGAATTCATACTGACTAGCCTTTGAAAATTATGTTTTGGGGACTATTTAAAGACATGAGAAAATGTCAAATGGAAAAAGCAAGAAGCAAACTAGCATGGTTTCAATTTTGTGTTATAGAAAAGCAAAGGGAAAAGATTTTTTTTAAAAAACAGAATTGCCATCAGAAATCAAACGTTTGCTGTTCTGATTTCCACTATCGTCTTCTTGAGGATCAAAAACATGAGTTATTAAAGTTTTGATTTGTGGCTGTAAAATGTTACAACTATAACTTTTGTCATTGTTCATTTCTTATGAATTTAACTATTTCCATGTGCAAAGAAAAATGATGTTATTTTAAAATAATATTTTTGGAAGAAATTACAGATTTCTGTTGCATATGTGCGTGCACATGTGTGTGTGTGGTACTGAGATTGAACCCAGGGCTTTGTACATGCTAGGCAAGTGTATTGAGCCACACCCCCATTGTCAGATTTTGGGGGGTGGGCAGTATTGAGATTAAACCCTGAGCTATAGCCCTAACCCTTTCTTAAAGGTTTTCCGAAGTTAGAGCTCAAATTTGGTAATAATTACACCTCAACCTCCCAGAGTGTTGGAACCTTGGGCGTGCCACCACACCCAGCTCAGATTTGGTTTCTATACACACAGTTTTGGACACTCCATTTTCAGAGTGCCAAGCATCCTTTTGTTGTTGGGATTTTTTTTTTTGGTATCAGGAATTGAACTCAGGATCTTGTGCTTGCTGGGCAGGTACTTGTGCCATTGAGTTATATCTCCAGCCCCAAGCATCCTTTTTTAAAAGCTATAGTTTCTTGATGTTGACTCAATATCATAGTTGGTAGAGTTGCTAGTTTTCAAAATCTTAGTCTGCTTTTGGTTATTTCTTATCATTAGAAAGATTACATTTAATTTTGCTTAAAATAGCATAAAGAATTGCTTATGTTTAATATTGAGGCAAACCTTTAAATGAGTCAAGTTCATTTTTAATTCTTTTTGATGGAGGATTTTTTTTTTTCCTACTGGTTTGTTAGCCATCTGCTCTCTGATCATTAAGAAAGGGACAGCTGTCTTTTGGTGAAGAGGAAGAAGTGGAACAGGGACTAAGATCTGCTAATGAGTGTAAAGCATTGTCTCTGCACAATGTTCTATACTGCTGTAATTTTTTTTTTTTTTTTTTTTTTTTTTTAGTACTGGAGACTTAACCCCGAGCTTTTACAGTGAGACACATCCCCGGTCCCCTTTCTTTGTTTTTTTTTATTTTAAGACAGGTTCTCGCTAAATTGCTCAGTTGTACACTGCTTAAATTTTACATTGTTTTTATAGTTATTTCCTATTGGGATTTGTTTTCATTTAGGATTAGTATGATCTTCAATATAAGGGTAAGGAATAACTATCTTCTAGGCAATTCATCACCATCACTGAACCCGTCCTGCTACCTAAATGAGAGTTTTAAGGGGCCCTGGTTTTTTTTCTCTAGGCTTGAAAGCTTTAGGGATTAAAGACATGATTTTGTTATGTACCAGGAGTGTTTCTGTTGTTAAAATGGGGAGCTTGAATCTTTTCTTTCTTTAAAGATAGATCTGCTATGATTGATACTTTTATAAGATCTGATTTGGTTAGTAAAATTCACTCATA